AAAGCTGAGGTATGTCCTGACCTGTTCAGGGAAGCTATGCTCTACACTCCATCTTCTAGACTCCTGAAATATTCAGAAAAGGTAGGGTAACCTCTGTCCTCTTGTTGTCTCTGGCAGTCTGCTTCTCCATCTGTCTTGCTCTCTCTCTCTTTAAATTTTCAATTTTTTATTTCAACCACTTCTCCTCACCTTGGGCCTTTTCTTTTCACTTGCTAATTTCAGAGGCCATTTTAAAGTTGAGGTGTTTCCTGGCCTGTTTGCATGGCATGGTAGTGTGATGTGCAATTTTCATTTTTTATATTTAAAAAAAAATTTCCCTTTTTGGTAATATTTTTCTAGTTTCCTTTTATTTTTGCTTTTTTTTAACCTTACTTTCCTACTCTAAGCTTCACTCTCCACACACTGAATGTCTATTGGCCATGGTGCACAGTATCCAAACATCTCTGCACTTTTTGATTCATTGAAACCCTCAATGCTTATTTAACCTCTTCCTTTAAGGAAGAAATTTCTTTTTATAAATCTGAACTACTAATCTCTTTCTGTGGATATCACATTGTGAAGCACTTGGAGGAGTGATTTTTGTCACAGAATGACCAGAAACCACCACAGAGGCACAATAAACATGAGAAACCAAGAAAATATCTCTCCCATAAGGAAAAAAAAATAATCCCTCATTATCCATAGACAGTACAATTGTACTCTTGGAAATGTCTGATAGAGAATTCAGCATATTCATAGTGACAAAAGTAAACAAGATGAAAGAGCTGAGAGATAATGAACTCCAGAAGATGCAATAGGAAAGAGACAACGAGTTCCAGGAGGTATTGAAGTTCTTCTATGACCTGAAAGAGGAAATACACACTATAAAAAAGAATCAAATGGATCTATTAGCAATGAAGGCTGCCATTCAGGAAATCAAAAACTCCCTCAGAAGCATTAAAAGCAGTTTAGTCCATGCAAAAAATCAAATCTCGGATGGTAAAGGCAAAACCTCTGATCTAGAAAAAACAACCAAAAAAACCTGAGAAAATAACCCCCCAAAATGAGAATACTATACAAGAAATATTAGACAGCATTAAGCGCCCAAATATCTGGATAATAGGTATCCTGGAAGGTGAGGAAACTAACAAGGGTATTGATAATCTATTCCATGAAATATTAGAAGAAAACTCTCCAAATATAGAGTGGTTTTCAAATATCCAGACCCAAGAAATACAAAGGACCCCTAATAGAATAAACCCAAGAAGATCTTCTCCAAGGCACATCATAGCCAGACTGGACAAATCAATAAAGACAAGATACTAAAATTGGCAAGAGAGAAACATTAGGTTACTTACAAAGGTTATTCAATCAGGCTAACCTCAGACCTCTCATCAGAATTATGCAAGCAAGGAAAGAATGAGAAAATATATTCAAAGTATTAAGAGAAAAAACAGTTTTAACCAAGAACACTAAACCCAGCAAGATTATCTTTCATATGGAAAGAAAGAATGGGACAAAGAAACGTGATATTATCTGTTGGAGATATTTTATAGTTTGATCAACTGGACTAGGGAGAAATGTTCACCGGTTGAAATATTCACTTTGTAGGGGACCAGCAGTTAGCATAATGGCTATGTCACTGAACTCCCATGTAGTCAACCGTGGTTCGAGTCCCGGACCTGGTTGCTTAAACTCATGCCAAGTGCATGTGCGTGCATGCCCAATATCCTGAGAGGAGAATGGAGAAGAGATTGTGGCATGGCTATTCCCCCAGGAGGTGATTTCTCACTTTCTGTCTCTCTCTGTCTCTTTCTGGCGAGTGCATGCGCCCTATAGCAAAAACCTCTCCAAAAAAAAAGACAAATATTCACTTTGTAAGCTAAATAACATGATAGAATGTATAAAAGAAAATAAAATTTTAAAAATGTAAAAATAAAAAAAAATTTTAAAGAAGAATAAAAACATTCTCAGATAAACAAAACCTGAAAGAATTTGCCAATAGTCGATCCACTCTTCAAGAAGTTCTGAAACGAGTGCTCTATCAGGAAAACTAAAGACATGTACAGAAATAAGAGAATAAAAGGCAACCAAGAAAATGACCAATTTAATGCTATGGACAAGAAATATCAATAACGCTGAATGCTAACTTCCAGGATTTAAATGGAAAGATTGGACCACAGTAACACTGCATATTGAACAGAAGAGAGTTTGAACATAAGACTAAACTGGTGAAATAGAATTTTATGACTTTTGAGTGAAACATTACTGATTTATTATGCTTTGTTTTATCAATTGAAGCATTTTACTTTCTCTTGAGTTGTTGATAGGTTCAGCAATTTGTTAAAATATTTTTCTTGTTTATTTCTTTAAATGGAAACATAAATTTTTCTTCCTTCATGACCCCTTTGGAATTGGAAAATATTTGGGAGTATTTTTATTTTGTGGCATAAGGGTTATTTGCATAAGTTCAATAATGCTTGTTGAATTGAATCAGAAATTAGAAATATTCATTATTAGACAGGGTTTTAACTGGAATGTCATATCTGAAGAGAAGTCAGAAAAGTATGGAACTAACGTGGATCTGAACTAAGCCAACAGAAGTTCTTAGAAAGATGGTCTGGCACCATAAATAGTTCTGTCTGGCAGAGAGGATTAGAGAAGCTATATGAAAGAATTTATAACATAAAATAACCTGGACTTTTCCAGCCCAGCATTGTATTCAGTAGAAATTGCAAAAGAACATCACATCAGAGGATTATCTTGAGAAAGACTTTGAAGGAAGAAAAAGAGACTGATCTTTGCTAACAGATGGTTTATCACAGAATACTTGGTAGGCAGGGCTGAATTGAGAAGGTTTGTGTGTGACTTGTATGGTGGGCTTTTACTTTTCAACAATTTGAGCAGCTGACATGTAAATATTTTCTCAAAAAGATTTAAAACCATATTGTCTCTGTTGTTGTAGGGTCACAAACAAAATTATAATAAATTTTTGAATGTTATCTTTAAAATTCATTATTTTGAAACTCTGAAAGTTGATTATTAACTGTCAAGAATTATGGAGGGGACAAGCATTTGGCATAATGGCTATGTCACTGGACTCCCACATAGTCAACCACAGTTCAAATTCTGGACCCAGCGGCTTAAAACTTACAACGGGCGTGTGTGCATGCATGCCCAAGATCCTGAGAGGAGAATGGTAGAGAAGGGATTGTGGTGTGGCCATTCCCCCCGGGGGGTGATTTCTTGCTTTTTGTCTCTTTCTTTCTGGTAAGTGCACATGCCCTATAGCAAAAAAAAAAAAAAAAGAATTATGGAGTATGAGCTAAAATTTTTTGATATGCAAAGTAAATGTTTGTGGAAAAATATAAAAATAAATTAATGAAAAAAAGAATATTTTTTATTCTTAAAATAGGGAAAATATTGTATGTATCATTTTAACTTTATTAAATTAACAATAAATTAGTCAACTGAAATTTTTACAAAATGAATTAGCAAGTCCTTCTGAAATGTAAAAGTAGTTAAATTTTCAATGTTCCACAAGGGAAAACATCAATAAATTATTTTACAAGAAAAAAAAGTAAATGAATGAACTAATGATACATGCAACTTGGATAGATCTCAAGGGAATTAAATTAAGTGAAAATCAATCTCAAAAGGCTACCTATACTTCATGACTCCATTTATACAACATTTGTGAAAAAAACAAAATTATACAGATGAAGAATAAATTAGTTGTCAGGGACAGGAGATGAGGGGAAAGAGATGGTTGTGACTATGAAATTATATTGGGTCATTAGAAAAGTCAAGATGCATTTTTGTATAGAAAAACATAGAAACATATGTTATGACTTTTCCTATGACCTAATAGCACATGGGATCCTTATGGTGACAGAATAATTCTGTATCTTAACTGTGGTAGTAATTACAAAATTTATATATGTGATAAAATAGACTAAATATGTGATAAAAGTCTACTTATGTTGTAAAATAGACTAAATATACACAAATACACACACACACACACACACACACGAGTGCATATAAAACTGATAAAATCTAAATAAGTTTTATAGATTATACCAAAGTCTATTAATTAATTGTGAGATTGTACTATATAGTGTTATGCAAGATGTTACCATTGGGAGAAACTAGGTAAAGGGCACATACAATCTTTCTGTACTATTTTTGTAACTTCTTATTAATCTATTATTTTAAAGCAGGTGTTAAAATTTCACAGAACTATGTAAGAAAAAAGTCATTTTTACTGTTTATTTAAAAATATAAGAACCAAAGTTATAAATACACTATATGACTGATAAATATGAAATGCTTCAAAATCTGAAACTTTTTGAGTGCCAACATGATGCCACCAGTAGAAAACTCTACACTTGATTTTATGTGACAGGCAGTAGTCAAAACACTGGAATACAAAAATATTATATAAAATTACCGTCAGGCTATGCATGTAAGATAAATATGAAACATTAATGAATTTTGTATTTAGACTTTGGTCCCATACCCAAGATACTTCATTAAGGATGTGCAAATATATTCCAAAATACTTCTTGTCCCAAGCATTTCAGATAAAAGATATTCAACCATATTCATAGCAAGATTCATTCAATACCAGCTCCCTGTCATGTCTGGAGTGCCACACTATCCTTACTAATGCTCATCCAGCCAAAATTTGAAAGACTCTGTCACCGACCCCAATCCAAACCACTAGATATATAAGACTTCAAAAATAATAAAAATATCATACCATCACTTTCTTTTCTAGAAATAATCTTTCCTTCTACTAGGTTTTCACAGTATTTATAACATTTTTAGGGTACTCAGGTTATTCCACTTTTCAGTATACTTATGTGTCTGCATACCTTACCTTGTCCCCTAAATCATCAGCTCCTTGAGGGCAAGAACCAAGGCTGAAATTTTTGCTGTGATTTGACCTAACGATGTTCAATGACTAAATGAGAATGAGAGGAGCAGCTCCTTATGGTAGCAATTGTCAGGCTTACCTGTACCTCCACCAACCAGTCCACAAGAATGGCCCTCATTCCACTGCTAATATCAGTCTGTCTGTTCATGTAGTCTGTAAGTATGAACTTTTCCTGGCAGCAACAAAAACAAAATGTTAATAAACTCTTCTTGCAGTTCAAAGTTATAACTTAATTTCCATATAGGTAGGGGCAGATCAAAATATCCTTTTCCAGAAAAGCTCTAGTTTTCTTTGGGAAATGAACAAGTGGTATTAAATTACCAGAGTGAATATTGAGGGGTCCACGGCAAGTAAGGCCAGAAATATTCCTATTGGCAAAAGACAAATGCCCCTTCTTGCAATTCAATCTAAACCATGATATCATTATATGTAGAGCAGTGCTTCTTAAACTTCAGTATACACAACCACACTTGGTGATCTTATAAAACTTTAGATTCTGATTCAGAACTTTTAGAGTGGGGATGGGTTTCTGAATTTCTAACAAGATCACAAATAAAACAGATATGGCTGCATCAATGCTCACACCTTTAGAATACAAAGCTGTTTTTTACTTCTTCCATAGTATACTAGCAAAAGCATGGGCTTTTGAGTCTGACAGCTAATCACTGCATGCTTTCTCTGTAAAGAAAAGATATTCACCCACATGGTTTGCTAAAAATTCTAGTTGGTACATAATCTTGGGCCTATCTGGCCCATCTGTTCTGTATTGAGAGAAAAATATCTGAAATGAATATTAGTGGTAAAGGATACTGGAAGATTTCAAAGGAGAAAGAAAACGTCATCAGATTGGAGAACTGAAACAAAGGGTATGATATTCCAGAAATATAAATAGAGAATTAAAATGATCTCTAAGAGCAGCCAGTCAGAAACAGACTAATTAACTATGCTTATATCTGAGACTGTCCTGTCAGCAATTAGAGGTAGAGGATTATAGTCTTCAAGGTAATCTATCTTTGGTCAATACCCCAGCTCTACCACAAACTGGTTGTATGACTATAGAAAGTTTCCTCTATCTGTAAAAAGAGAATAATTATGAGACTTCAGAAAGTTCATGAAAAAATGCAATTAAAGTACAAGTTTACTTTGGCATAAAAAACTTGAAATCTATGAATAGTTTTTTTCCATGAATTTTTTGAAAACTCCCTGTACCTACCATCATGAAGTTATTGGGAGAATTAAACAAAATAAAGTCTATAAATCCCTTAGCACAATATCCAGCTCATAGTATGATACCAATAGATGTTAACTGTTGCTATTATTGTTATTTTCATCATGTCCTCCCTCCCAGCCACTTACACACCTCTCTTTGCTTCATGTAACTGAAGATATCCTTGGCATATACTGAATTGAGAAATGGATCACTGTGGTCATTATCAATATCTTCCAGGGGGATCACCTGCTTGGAAATTAAAAAAAAAAAAACTCACAGGAGAATGATTCTAAGGAAGGTTTACACATACACATCAATGATGACTCTTTCTTACCAGTTGTCTTCTTCTGCTAAGGTTCCTCAAGCCTCATATGTCCTATACCTTAAAGAGTACCCCTTGCCTCTACAATTTCCAGTGGTAAAGAAATGCCTAATGTTCCTTGTAAATGACTCTTCGGCACTAGGAAGAAGGCACCATTTTTTTACAGGTAAACTGGAGACTTTTCAAGAAAGACATTCTATTTTATCATTTCAGCTGTGTCAGCTGTTTTCTTAAGTCCCTGGTTATATCCCAATGCTTTGATACAGCCCAGTTTATCTTGGCATCCTCCCTTCTACATCTTTACCTATACTGTTTTGCCTACAAAAGGGTTATTTCTCCTCCTGCTTGCTATATCTCATCCCATCATTCTTCTAATTTACAATTTAAAGACTACCATCCAGGACCAGCAGATGGTGAAATGGCTAAGTCAGTAGACTCCCATGTAGTCAACCACGGTTCGAGTACCGGACCCAGTGGCTTAAACTCATGCCAGGTGCATGTGCATGCATGCCCAAGATCCCAAGAGAAGAATGGAGGAGATGGGATTGTGGCATGGCCATCCCCCAGGGAAGAGATCTCATTTTCTGTCTCTCTGTCTCTCTCTGTCTTTCTGGAGAGCGCATGCGCCGTATAGCAAAAAACCTCTCCAAAAATAATTTATTGATTAATTAATTAAATTAAAAATAAAATAAAGACTATCTTCCTTGGGAAATACCCCATGAACCTTGCCCATTTCTGACTGAAGCCCACTGTGATATAGACTACAATTACTAAACAGAGCAATTTCCTGACAGAAATTGCCTAACAACTGTTGCAAGCCCAAGTATATAACATAACATTCCAGACCCTTATGGGCATAACTGGAAAAATTACTTTCTGATTGCTTGGCTCTAGCACTATGCCAATCAGGAAGTTAAGAAATTTGACAAGGACAACACAATTTAAGAGAAAAACGCTCAAGAGACTGGTAAATGTATCCCATATCATGGGTAAATCCAAACTGTAAAAGTTAAGAAGAAATGACTCTGCATCACCTATCAATAAATTAAACCAGTAAGCCCCAAAATATCACCCTCTAGCTAGGTAGGGAGACCTCTCATAACTTACTATATACACATAGCTCAATTGCTTAAAGAGAAAAAAAAAGTCTCATCACTAGCAGCCACCTCTAGGACAACAAAGAATACTTCATCTAATTTAAAAAGAAAAAGTAACAAATACCTTCTTTTGTGTTCTCTTGCCCTGAGGTGAGAAAAGTCCACTTGAACCAGATTCACATATGCTAAAATCACTGGCAGTATTGGACTCGCTCACACTGGACATGGTGGCAGCACTGGACTTTCCTACCCTGAATTCAGGAGTAGTGATAGACACATGTGGGCTGGTCTTAATTGGGAATATTAAGGATGTTTTGAGAAAGCCATTTTCCTTGCAGGTAAGATTCTCTTCGAAGGCCAAGGGTTCTGTGGAAGACAACTCCATCTCAGTGGTGGGTTTCTCATTTGAACCTAGTATGTGCCTGAAAAGACATGACTCATTGATGGTAGGCTTCTCCTGCAAGGCTAATGGCTCCTTGAAGAGGGCTTCCTTCTCAATGTTGGGCTTCTCCTGCAAGGCCAAGGGTTCCTTCAGGGTGGCTTCTTCAACTATGGGTTTCTCTTGCAAGGTTAAGGGTTTGTTCAGGGTGGCCACATTCTCAACTGTATGCTTCTCCTGCAAGGCCAAAGTACCACTGAACAGGGTCTCATTCTCAATGCTGGGCTTTTCCTGCAAGGCCAAGTGTTCTTTAAGGGTGGCCCCCTCAACTATGAGCTTCTCTTGTAAGCCCAAGGGCTTATTAAAGAGAGTTTCCTTTTCAATGGGGGGCTTCTGTAGGGCAAAGAGGTCAATGAAGAGGCTATCGTTAACACTGGGCTTCTGTTGCAAGGGCAAATATTCCTTAAAGATGGTCTCCTTCTCAATGTTAGGCTTTTCCTCCAAGACCAAGGGTTCCTTCAGAGTGGCTTCCTCAACTATGGACTTCTCTGGAAAGGCCAAGGGCTTACTAGAAAGGGTTTCCTTCTCAATGCTAGGCTTCTCCTGCAAGGCCAGGTGTTCCCTGAGAAAGGTCTCCTTCTTACTGTTGGGCTTTTCCTCCAAGGCCAAGGGTTCTTCCAGTGTGGCCTCCTCAACTAGGGGCCTCTCTTGCAAGGTCAAAGGCTTGTGGAAGAGGGTTTTCTTCTCAATTATGGGCTCCTCCTGCAAAGCCAAGTATTCCTTAAAGAAGGTCTCCTTCTCAATGTTGGGCTTTTTCTGCAAGGCCAATGATTCCTTTAGGATGGCCTCCTCAAATATGGACTTCTCTTGCAAAGCCAAGGGTTTGTTGAAGAGGGTTTCCTCCTCAATGCTGGGCTTCTCTTGCAAGGCCAAGTGCTCTTTGAAGAAGGTCTCCTTCTCAATGTTAGGCTTCTCCTGCAAGGCCAAGGATTCTTTCAGGGTGTTCTCTTCAGCTATGGACCTCTCTTGCGTGACCAAAGGCTTGTTGAAGATAGTTTCCTTCTCAATGCTGGGCTTTTCCTGCAAGGCCAAGGGTTCCTTCTGGGTAGCCTCCTCAACCATGGGCTTTTCCTGCAGAGCCAAGGGCTTGTGGAAGAGAGTTTCCTTGTCAATGCTGAGCTTCTCCTGCAAAGCCGAGGATTCCTTTAGGGTGACCTCCTCCTCAATTACAGGGTTCTCCCACAAGCCCAAGGGCTCATTGAAGAGGGTCTCTTTCTCAGTGTTGGGATACTCCTGTAAGGCCAGTGGCCCCTTAACAAGAGACTCTCCATCATCAGTGATGCTTTCATACAAGGCCAACTTTTTCAATTGGAACACCTCCTCCTGAGCAGTAGCCTTCTTATTTAAAGATAATTGTCCCTCTAGGCATGTTGCTGCCTCAATAGAGGGTTCTTTCTTCAAAACCAATAGCTTCTTGAAAAGGGTGTCCTCTTCGGTGCTGCTTTTCTCCTGCAAGTCCAACATCTTCAAGGAGTCCTTTTTGGTATTGGTTTTCTCTTGTAAGAGTAAAGTGTTCTGAAATAGGGATTCACCTTTTTTGATAGGCTTAAAATACAATGAAAGCAGTTCCTGAAAAAGGATTTCCTCCTCAGAGGTAGGTTTCTCCTTCAAGCTCAGTGGTTCCTTAATAAATGATTCTTCTTTAGTAGTGGTCATCTCCTGCAAAGACAGTGGCTTCTTTGAGGGCACCTCCTGCCGAGTGGTATGCTTCTCTTTCAGTATAGATGACTCCTGGGAAAGTAACACCTCTTCAGTTGTATGCTTCTTCTTAAAAGGCAACAGCTTCTTATAGAGTAACTCCTCTTCAGAGGTGGTCTTCTGTAATACCAGTGGCTTCTTTAAGAGAAACATCTCCTGAGTGACTTGCTTTTCTAAAGATAATGGTGTATTGGTAAGAACTGTCTTCTCAGTTGTAAGCTTCTCCCTAAATGACACTGGTTCCATAAAGGAGGAATCTTGATCTTTGCCAATCATATCCTGAAAGTCCAATAGTTCTGGCCAGGTGGACATTACCACTTCAGTGGTACACTTTTTCTTCCTTACAGACACTTTTTCTTCTTTAAAGGACAATGGGTCTTTAATTAATGACTTTTCTCCAGAGGTGGTCTTCTGCAATACTAGTGGATTCTTCAAGTGAGACATTACTCCTTGAGTGGTGTGCTTATTTAAAGGGAAAGACTTCTTGGTGGAGGTTGTCTCCTCAATGATATATTTCTTCTTAATAGTCAAAGCCTCCTTAAAAAGTGACTCCTTCACAGTAGGAGAATTTTGTAAGGAGAAGGACTTCAAGATGGACACTTCTTCCTGAATGGTGTGTTTCTCTTGCAATACAGATGACTCCTGGAAAAGGGACTCATTCTCAGTGGTAGTCTTCATCTTAAAGGGCAATGGCTCCTTAATGAGTGATTTCTCTCCAGAGTTGTCCTTCTGTAATACCAGTGGCTTCTTCAAGTGGCACATCTTCCCCTGAGTGGTACACTTCTTATCTAAAGGTAATGATTTCTTCATGGGGGTTTCCTCTATGGTAGTATGCATCTCCCTAAAGGAAACTAGCTCCATAATAAAGTTATCTTCACTGTCAATTTTCTCCTGAAATTCCCAAGGCTTTTTCAAGAGGCCTACCTCCCCTTGAGTGGTATGTTTCTCCTGCAATATAGATGGTTCCTGAAAAAAAGACTCCTCCTCAGTGGTAGGCTTCTTTTCAAAGGACAAAGACTTTGTAGTCAGCAACTTCCCTCCAGAGGTGATATTCTGCAATACTAATGGTTTCTTAAAGTGGGACTTCTTCCCCTGTGTCATGTTCTTCTTTAAAAATAATGGCTTCATAGTAAAGGTGGCCTCCTCAGTGGTAGGCTTCTTTTTAAAAGCTAATGACTCCTTAAAGAGAGAGTCCTCTTCAAAGTCGATCTCCTCCTTCCAAGCCAATGATTTGTTTGAGATGGACACCTCCTGTTCAGTGGTATGCTTTTCTTGCAATATTGATGATTCTTGGAAAAGGGACTTCTCAGCAACTGACTTCCTCTTAAAGGACAATGGCTCCTTAGGAAGTGACCTCTCTTCAGGAGTGACCGTCTGCAAGACTAGTGGTTTCTTGAAACGGGATTTTTTCCTATTAGTGGTACACTTCTTCTTTGAGGATAATGGCTCCTTGGTGGGAGTTGAGGCCGCAGTTTTAGACTTCTTCCTAAAATTCACTGAGTCCATGAAAGAAGAATCCTCTGCAGCACTGATGTCTTGCAAGGCTGATAATTCCTCCCAGCATGACTGTTTTCTCTGATGTGTGCATATCTTCTTCTTTAACGATAATGTCCCCTTGGTGATGGCTGCCTCCTCAGTTTTAGGCTTTTTTCTAAAAGTCATTGGCTCTATGATAAACTTATCATCATCAATCTCCTCCAGCAAGGTTAGAGGCTTCTCTGATAGAGACACTTCCACATGACTTCTGTAATTCTTTAAAGATAATGACTTTTTAATGAGGGCGGTCTCCTCACTAGTGGATTCCTCCTTTAAAACTACTGGCTTTTTAAAGAGAGATGTCTCCTTAGTGATGGGTGTGTGAGAGATTGTGGATATCTCCTTAATGAGAGGTCTCCTCCTATTTTTTAGTACCAAGGTGGTAGAGGCTACTGTTGGTGAGAATTTCAGTTTATATCTGTAAAAGAAAACAATGTCTGAGTAAGAAAAATGTTGTTACTAGAATCCTTACCATCTCATTTCATTGTTATATTTACTAAAGGTATAGAAGGAGAAAGGACTTCAACTTCAGAGACAAGTAAGATGGTAAAAAAAACAATGGGTACCATGATGAATCAAGAAAGTATAGCACATTGTATAGTTTCTATGACCTAGGGCCATAACAACCCTTTTCTATCATTTCCCCCTTGAAATCCATGTTGTATTTTTTCATGTATGGTTTATTACCTTTATTTATATACAAAGGCTTGTATTATAATACTTATCACACTATATGCATTATCTACTTGTACATCAGTTTCCCTCACAGTTGTGTTTATTTGTGTTTGTCAACCAGCACAAGCCATCTGGTAAAATACAGGTTGAAATTAATATTGCTTGAAAGCTAATGAGAGGGGTGGAGCAGTAACTAACATTGGTGGTATCAAACCACATTACCTTCACCCTGGACTATTCAGTTTTTTTTTTTTCCAAATGAAAGTAATAAAAAGACCAAAATAGAAATCTGTCATATGTGTCAGGTGCAAAGCGTTTTATCTTTCCTTTTTTTTTTTTTTTTGCTAATAGGCACGTTGGCCCCCAAGA